ATTTCCTCCCCACTCTCCGTCTTCATTTGCTTGAGTTTAACTTTGATTCATTTCCGAACGCCAGGATGAGACAAACAATATTTTAGTTTACTAGCGAGCATTAGTGGAGCCGAGCGATATCTCTCAGAAGTGATTTAGGATCTTAACCGAGATAAAACAACGGAAACTGGTCAAATATGATGCCAAATAAATGCTTATATATATATATATATATATATATATATATATATATATATATATATATATTAGCTGGTGGTAACGGTTCTCAAAATTAATTTGATAAGTGTTATTAAATGACAATGATCTTTTTTGTATTTTGTATTTGTTATTATTCATTGAATACACCCCTCTCTTTCTCTTCATGTGTACATGAAGTCCTTAAGACTGCATATTACACTATATATAAGAAAAGTGTTTTCAAACTGCAGGAGCGCAGCGTTGTCAGCGTCTCCTCTGGAAGATATGTGATCTTTAATAAAAGTTAAACACCATATGGGGCTTTATGATGGCTGACGTGAAACCGCGCATTACCCATCATGCCCTCTGGACAGAAACATGCAGATGGCTTGTCTCGTGTGTGAATCACTGTGAAGACATGCAGGAGGACGCGATGAGAGCATCAGCAGGTGAAGCTGCAGGCGCAGAACGAAGCTCTGTAATGTTACACGGTGAACATGTGCTGAGAGGTGGCTGGTTCGAGTCCCAGCAGCTGAAGTAGTTCTTATTAAACTCTGTTTGTTGGAGCGTGGCGCCCTGAGCCGAGCAGCAGCTGCTGCTTCTGAGGAACAGACCGCTGACACACAGACGCTGTGGAGCTCTGATGGGATGCTCCGTCAAGGTCTCTGTCCTTTAAAGCTCCGGCTCTGCGGGGGATGATACTGCCCCCTGCTAATCTGAGTGTCTGATCGTACCTGGGTGTGTCTGTGAGCTACAGGGCCGCTTTAACAGTTGGTCAAGAATCTAAATAAATGTTAGTGAGGAGATTCATATGTAAATACTTGAACGCTGGAATTACGGTTTGATCAGTTATTGAAGTCTGTCACAGAAAATCATTTCTAGGACGTCAATGCTTCTAAAGACTGCTACGACCACTACTCACCATTACTTTCATAATGATTGTTTTATCATTTGGTAAATAAAATACCAGAAATTGTCAAGGGAAAAAGCCCTGCGCAATTTATTTGAATGTCTGAAAGTCCAAAACCCGAATATTTAAGTTAACTTAAAAAAGCTGCAAATCCTAACGTTTGAGAAACTGGAACCAGGTGACGTTTTGCTTTAAAATGACATTAAAACCGATTGATTACCGAATCGTTACTGATTTCCTTTCCGTAAATTAAATAATGGATTCATCTTGATGTTATATCACTGAAGGAACACTTGCTAAAAACCTAAAACTATGCTTTCAATTATTACATCATGATTCCTGTCAAAAACATCTCAAGTACTGCTGGGAATATTTTGGAGGTATTAGATGATGAAAGTAGGGCTGCTCGATTATGGCAAAAATCATAATCTCGATTATTTGGGTCAATAATTGATATCAGGATTATTAAAAACGATTATCCATTTACTTTGGAAACATCCATTTATTGAAAAAAAAATGTGAACAGTATGTTTTGAACAGTTGATTACCTGAACGTTAAGTTTAATTCAACTGAAAAACCAAAAAAGAAAAAGAAAAAAATAATCGTTTTATTTCGATTACGTTGTTTTCATAATCGTTGCAAGCCAAAATCGTAATTGCGATTAAAATACGATTAATTGAGCAGCCCTAGATGAAATGTCACCTGTCGTCACGGCAACATCTCGATAATGTTATTCAACATTATTGATTACAAGTGGAGATAAACTTTGATGATCAAATCAAAATGTTCAGCTTTAAATGTGACAATTTACTGTTTTTGTGTAAATGTATCGGGCCAATTATATTATGCATTTTTTCCAACATTAAATAGAAAGAATAATTGTAAGTTTCAGCACAAGACTCGAAACTAAATGCTGGCACATTTTGATGGACTTCAACAACACTGCAGAGAATGATTATAAGGTTTACATACTAGGTATATAACGGCTTGTTTTGTCAATCTGTGGGAAACAACATCAAATCAGTTTCAACCTTTTCAATCAAACTGCATCCGAAGAGTTATATTGTGATTTCCAGGTAGACTGAAAGGTCAGAAGTTTGATTTCTGCTCCACAAGACACTGAGCTTCTACCTGCTGACAAATCTGTCTCCAACGAGTGTCAGCTAAACCAGTGGTTCTCAACTGGTGGGTCGCGGACCCGTTTCAAGTGGATCGCAGATGTGTGAGTGAAGAAAGTCAAACTTTTATTTTGAAGGCCCGATTTTCTAACGCTGTGCATGCAGTAGGCGTTGGACTGGAAGTACCGGAGACCATAAACGGTTTTGAAAACTTCTCACGTAGTGATCATCTTCTCAATAAAACATCTTTGCTGATGTTTTTCCAAGTCTTCTGGCCAATCAGAATCAAGATTGTTGCCGGAAGTCCCCACGGAGAATAACTTTGCGGTAGAACTCTTCTTTATACATCCATGGGTACAACGTCAGTTACAAATGAACACGTAATGAAATATGACCCCCAGTTTGATGACTGACAGGTCACAGAACAATGGGGGCTATCTACCCTTACCCACAATTTAAAGTAAGTCACACAGACTATCTCCTCTTTGCTCTTCTCTCTGTGAGGAGCAGCAAGTTCAGCTTCAGAACTAAGTGAAAAACAAACAATGGCATAAAATATTATTAATATGTCGGGTAGTAATAGATTTATTTATTTTCTTCTCGGTGTACCAGAATGGGTAGTTTATATGTTAGTATAACAAAAAATCTCCTGGGGGAGAATCCCCCCAGACCGCCCTTCTGGGGTTGGGTTTTCAGCATGTGTGCCTTTTTATGTTATGCAGTTCAGCTTTGATTCCATCCTCTCATTAAACCTTATTTAAAGCATACTTTAGTTCTGTGAAGGGATATAAGGGATATAAGGGATATAAGGGATATATGCACTGTACTTCACTTTCATTCATAATGTTTGCTGAAAAGAGTATATTTTACTGCTTTGTTTTCATAGATCATTATAAGCCATTACTGTTGTGTTAGAGAGAGTATGGCAAAGTGCAGAGACATAGGAAACATCCAGCGGGAGGCAGAGAGCACCGGCAAATAATTCATCAGAAAGATGAAATCCCAGGACGTCTCATTTACTCGATTCCTGAACACCACACGCTCTCTCAGGTCTCTGCACTTTGCATAACTCCAAAATAGGAAGCTGCCTCTGATCTGTGAACATATTTCATGATGTATTCTCCGTCGCTGCAGCAGCTTAACAAACTGAGAAACTTTCCTGTTGATGTCCGTTATGCTCTTTGTGTTTATAGAGCCGAAACGACATCTCACACACACACACACACACACACACACACACACACACACACACACACACACACACACACACACACACACACCACACACACACACACACACACACACACACACACACACACACACACACACACAACACACACACACACACACACCACACACCACACACACACACACACACACACACACACACACACACACCACACACACACACACACACACACACACACACACACACACACACACACACTTCATATTTGTCTAATATTATAGTTCACTTTTCATTCAGGAAGTATGACGCTGCACTGTCAGTATGCTTCTCCATGTTTGTGATTGGTCAAATGTTGCTAGCCCCGCCCCTTTCGTGTGAACGCGCTCTCAGCCAGACAGAGAAACCCTGGCTTGAGTTACTGAGTTGATAACCAGCGTCTTGGGACCGCTTAGCGAGAGCGCGTTTGTTTTGGATTAGGTAAGCCGGGTAACTCAAACATATCCAGGGTCTGTTGAACTGGATTCGTAGTACAGGCCTCAGCTCTCTGAATATTTCATGTCGAACATATATCTCATCTCAATGTCTAATGTGCCAGCATTTAGTTTCGGGTGTTGGTTAAAACATGTTTCTGATTCCAATCAGACCTTATGTTAACAGCTATGGACTTATTGGAAACTATTTGGTGTGTTATTTAATAAAAAGCAGCTACACGTACACTGGCAAACTTACCACTTACTAGATCAAAGAAGAACATAATCCTCCAGTATAACAAGTACAGATGTATTTATATACTGCATACACTTGAGTATAAGACCCCCAATAGTTTGTGAGGTTTATCATTGGAGCTGCAGAAGTTCATCACTACAGGCGACGCCTCTCACATTGTTATTATTAAAAGTAGTAGACTGTTTATGTGATTTAATTTGAGGGTACTGCATAGGTTGATGTTAACAACAGGGTCAGTTTTATTAAAGTGTTTGGTGTTTTATTTATACCTGGAGGAGTGGGACAGCTGGCTTCCGCTCTGCTTGGGGTTTTACTGGAGGAGGTGGAGGAGGGTGGAGGGGGGGCCGGCGTCTCAAACAGTTTGTCCTCCATGTTGGCTCTCTTGACGTAAACACAGGACTTCCCCAGCAGCACAATGCTGTTCAACACTTTGAGAGTCACCAGCCTGGAGAGGGAGAGACGGCCGGTTAGAGAGGGGCACTTCTGACGGGAAGTAGTTAACAGGAAATAAAACGCTTTGCATTTCTTCAATAACTTCTCTGGAGCTTTAACAGTCTACAACAGTGGAGAGAAGAAACAAATAATTATTTATATTTGATGTATTTTTCTTTTATGTCTAAAGCAGGGGGGTCAAACTCAAATACACAGTGGGCCAAAATTAAAAAATGGGTGCTAGTCGAGGGCCGGACTGGTTCAATGTTTATTGCAAAACGTATTGAAATGAACTTATTGCACATATTAAACCTGGAGCTAACAAAGCTTAAATGATTGCCTATAAAAACAACATTAAACATTAAATAATCAGTTGCATTCATTTCTTATGGCTCTATCTGCAGCTTCATTTCTTATGATTATATTTTTCCACAGGCCAACAACAACTATTTCCCTCAAAGAACAAACCAAACATGCCCTGTTGTCGTGAGAGAATGTGCAGAAGGAAACATCCATTAAACTCAGTGTGCTGCTCTGTGATGCTAGTTCAAGCAGATACTTGGCGTCTCATCTTGGGTGCAAGGTCATCAATGTTTGGGCTCAGGCTCTGAGCTGAGGAGACCCTCAGGATGGAGTGAAGCTGTGCGTGCAATATACCGGCGGGCCAGATCTAATAGTAATTAGAAATTATCCTGCGGGCCGAAATTAAATCCACCACGGGCCTGATTTGGCCCCCGGGCCTTGAGTTTGACACGTGTGCTCTATATGTATGTTGCATTGTTGGAGTTGCCTGGGACTTATGAGAGATTTATATTTCCAACAATTACGCTATAACTATTTTGCCATGACAATAAAGCTTTTGAATCCATGAAGCTTACATGTATTTCTGTCTATATTTTGATAGCAGTTATGATTGGTGGAATTAACTAATCACAGAATAGTGTGAAAAAATGTTGACATTAGCATGTCTGCTTTTGTTTAGCAGTTTGAGCTTCTGCTAATTTGGTTGATGGATTAGCACCAAGCTATGCATTTTGGCACATTTGAATGAAAATACTAGGGCTGTCCCGAATACCATTTTTCGGGCTCCGGATATTCGGTAGTAATCAGCAGCGAATATTCGGATCGCACGGGGGGCCGAATATATAACCCAATTTCTGTTCTTTGAAATTTGAAAGGATATTGCATTGTGTTAGTTACTTTCCTTGCAGTTGTATATTGTATTATTGTATTATACGTGTAATTTGGCTTGGCTTCCTATTTTGTATGGACATGCTTTTATTTTGAAGGAGAGTTAGCGCTGTTGACAGGAAGTTGTTGTTGCTATGGAAACAACGTGACGGAGATTAATGGAGAAAAGTCATATCTACATATAAAGACGGAGAAAGTAAACGATAAAGTTTATGGTTAAGTGTTATCACAAGCTCTTACGTTGATATTGGAGATTTCAATAAATTCAATTTGAAAAAAAACGAATAACGAAATTAAAACCCGAATAGTACTCAAACGAACGAATATTCGGGTACAGCCCTAGAAAATACACAAAAAAAATAGCAGTAGGATTTTAGTTGTAACTGAGCAGCCTCCCTCCAGTTACTCAGTGTTGTTGAGCAGCTTCAGTTTAAATGAATCTCCTCTTCCATCTGGTTTCGATCGCCACTGCTCACATTTCCCCTCTGACACCCGGATGTTGAAGTGCACCATCCTTTATGTGTTTCTTAGTTTTGCTATGAGGCTCAACCTCTGACCCGGGACTCTGAGACGGACACATTTGGGTCTGTGGAGCACCGCTCGCCGTGACAGAGTGTTTCAGAGCGGGAGCGAGTCAGAGAGGCTCTGCCAAGGCTCAGCGCTGTGATGCTGAGTTATTTTTAAATCAGGGGGTGGGGGGGAAGGCCAGAGATGGCACTAGAGATGACAACATTGTATTCTTCCCCCTGAGGGAAACTCTTCAATGGTACGAGCCCGATGGGATCCGGCAAACGAGAGTGAGCGAGGCAATCAGAGAGAGGACATGAGGGCGCAGTGTTAATACTTATGTAACTGTGTGTTTATAACTGAGCCTGCATGTGTCACTGTGACTCTGTGAGCATGTCTGTATCCTGCACAGAACAGTCTCTGTGCATGTTTAGCAAGCTAGAGTTAACAAAACATGCATAAATCTACTTTTATTTGTCGAAGAGGGAGGGGATAACAACATATTTTCACCAGTGCACGAACAACCAAAATCATTTTCAGCCTTTCTATCGCCTCTTGAGCTACATGTTCACTGTCAGATTCAAATGCATGCAGCATATGAAACATGAAATGTCCTACTCAGTGTGTAGAGCAATATACACAAGGCTTAAATGCTCACGAGGGCTCCTTCAATTTCAGATGCAATAATATTAAATAGTTATAATATTAAATTCCACAGTATAATGTTAATAGACTTACCCGAGATAGCAGAGGAACACACACGTGTACGACAGAGCTCCCTGCACCTTCACCGAACTCATCACCACTCGGATGAGCTGTCAAAACATTCAAAAGAAGAATTAACGGACAATCTGACGGGGGAAATAAAAAGTACATTTCAAAAAGATTAGGGCCATCAGGAAGCTGCGGTCAAGTTCAGTCAGACAACTCACGTGTTTCTTAATATGTTTATTATAGCAGCATATAGTTTGAGTTTGGCGTCTAGGCTCGGGCCTCATCACTCCACAGATGTACAAAGAACATTGAGTGATGATTAGATGACTATCCCCGAGCCTACAGGTGGAAGCTGGGGTGGTGGTGGGGTGGAAGCTGGGTGGTGGTGAGCAGCAGCAACATGAAACACAGCAGCAGGAACATGAACATAGCAATAGCAAGTGAGCGCAGCAGTGGCAGCAGCAGCAGCGAGGCAGAGGCAGGAAGACCTGGCAGCTTAAATAGAGCGGCATGTTTAGGAGAATGTGTTTGGTTGGTTGTAAGAGGGACAAGGCGCGTCACGTGTTAATGTATCATTAGTGCTCGAGTTGACTGCCTGAACTATAGCTCGCAGGCTTCGCCCCATTTGTGGCAGTACAGTACGTTGTTATTTTAAATACTCTGATATGAAAATGATGTCCTTGCACACAAGTGTTTAATATCATTTGACCATTCACGTATGTGTGTGCCAGTGTAAACAGGATGCAGATAGCACAACTGGACATGTGCACATATAACCATTAGTAGCATGATAACATGGAATTTAAATGCAAAACAGTTGTTAGCAAAGTGTTGTTTGATTCTGGAAAATGTGATATGTGATGGCGTAAAGAATCAAGGGAGAACGTTTTGTGACCGATGAGAACAAATCAGAAAACAGCCCTGGATGTCTATAGCCGCTTTCACACCAAGTACTTTGCCGTACTTAGTTCCCAGTAGTGTTAATATCGTTGACTAAAACTATGACGAAATATGTTCGTCAACGACCTTTTTTTCCATGACGAAAACGAGACGGCACCGACGGCAGTAAACAATAACTGCAACGAAATCATCATGCAATATCGTTGACGAAAAGTGACGAGACGAAAATGTAGTTTACTAAATAAAAACTATGCCAAAATCTCTCTTTACTTTCGTTGACGAAATATTATCAAAGATAGCGTTACATCTCTGATAGTCAGTTTTTCTCCCAGCAGTTCCATTTCCGGTGCTGCGGCAGGGCAGCAGCTGTGTGTCTGTGCTGCGCGCGGCGGTAGATTTGAATTACACCGGGCAGCGGCACAATATGAACTGTCAAGAAGACTCGGGTCTAACTCATGGTCTCTAACTAACCTTATTCAACATAAAATAAAATGGCAACAACAGGGCTTGGGAGCAGTGGTCGCACTCGCGTTAACCGAATACCCCCCGTCAGCGCGAGTGATTGATAAATTGTGCACTCGACGGATAATAATGGATTATGACGGAAATGTTACGATCCTGTCCGTCAAAATGACTGACAACGAAAATGAGGCGGAGAAATAAAGCGAATGCATTGTTTTATCAGAAGGGAAGCAATGTGGCCATAACACAGGTAAAAACACCACAAACCTGACCAGGTACTCTCTGCAAAGCTGCATTCTTAATCATTCAACCTGTGTTTTTCATCAAATAAGGACAAGATATAATCTTATTTATTTATATATACTAAAATGACAAATTATTGGTTTTGGCTAGACTAGTTTGACTGAAATGTTCTATATAATCTGATGACAAAAAAAGACTCAGTTTTCATTGACAAAAAGTAGACTAAAATAATTAGTTTTCTTTGACTAAAATAAGACTAAAATGCTCAGACTTTTAGTCGACTAAAACTTGACTAAATAAAAACAGGATGAAGGTGACTAAATATGACTAAAACTAAAAAGAAAATGTAACACAGGACTAAGACTAAAACTAAATAAAAAAATAGCTGACGAAATTAACACTAGTTCCCAGCAATTAGTTCCCAGCACTTAGTTCCCAGCACTTAGTTCCCAGCACTTAGTTCCCAGCACTTAGTTCCCAGCACTTAGTTCCCAGCACTTAGTTCCCAGCACTTAGCCCCATGGAACTAAAGAGCAGATCGCGTTCACACCGGAATAAGTCCCTGAGGGAAGATTACGCAAATGAAGCCGCTGACGTCACTTCTTCTGCTTTGGGTTAATGGCAGGCCGCAAACAACTTCATGGCGTATACTGCCACCCAAAGTCCCCGGCCGGAAGTCCCCGGAGTTGGGGACTGGCTTCAGTTGAAGCTGCTGGGACTCCCAGCAGCTTCTACTGAAGCCTTCCGAGTAAATCGCCAGAATGCCGACACCTCCTCATCTCCACCGCTCCCACATTTTTTTGTGTGTTGCCATAAGTTAGTCTCTCTGCGTTGGTGCGCTGGGCTAATGCTAATAATGCTAATGCCAGCAAATAAAATTGCGGCTTCACAAAACGTTTCAGAGTTTTATGGGGCGTGGTTTGCAATTTGCCCAGCCAATCAGAAATTGGAACTTTTTTCTCCCCAGGAAAGTACCTGCTCTCTAGCAGGGACTGAAAAGGGGGTACAACTAAGTTCTCTTTTTGGTGTGAACGCAAAATCCCAGGAACTATCGGAACTAAAAGGGAAAAGTACTCCGGTGTGAAAGCGCCTGATGTGATTTTTTTTTAAAAAGTATCCGTTTCCAAATCCCAGAGATTTCAAACTAAAAAGGTATTTTCAAGTCTTAGTTTTAGGTTTTGAAAAATGCTAGAGCAGTGTGGTCGCAAGGAGTAAGCATAGTAAAAATGATCACAGCCCAAATTGAAAAGATTTGGTGAGTGTTTATATCCCGATCTTCTGGTATTAAGTGTCTGAGTGCTTCCTCTCTCTCACCAGGACAGCCAGCGGCAGAGGGATGAAGCCCATCCTGCGGGCCACTGAGTCACTGTAGTCTGTACAAGCCTGCAGAGAGACGGAGAGAAGCGTTACAGCCTTTATATATATACAGTCTGGGGTTACAGCACTCCACACAACTGCATTCATCAGGCTCACTGCTGTTTATGTAAGAATAATGAGACGGCTGCTTACATTCTTCTGTCGACTGCTGACGAGATCAAAGGCCAAACTGGCTCTGTATTCACTGTACACCTGGGAAGAGAGGAGAGCAACTATGGAAGGATACTGGGTAATGATATATAATATACACATACTGTATTAGGATAAATGATGTACTGTGTGTGACAAGTCCTTGGTTAGTGATTAAGACTATTATAGAGATAATGATCAGGTTCAGTCCTTACATCGGCTGTGATGTCGTTGAACTTGGTGATGAACGCGTGTTTAATGATGTCCACTGCAACCTCAGAGGTGACGACCATGAAGACATCGGGGAACAACACCCACAGGTGGTCTGAGGGAACAAACTGAGTTATTTGTAAATCTTTTATAAATATAATACACGAGTGCAATCCTGCTCTTTATGTTGTATCCATTTTACCCACCGCATACCAGAGTCCAGGTACACCCAGTTAACTTTGTGTTCACTGCTCACTCCTGACATATTCTGATCTCAGATTAGATATGTGATGATGCTAGTATCAGCAAGTTTGATAAAGAAGAGTTGAAAGAGTTGAAGTGGCACAACTTTGTTTGCCACTTGGGGGCAGAGGACAGAGCCAAAAAACAAAACAATACCTACATACTGTCAGTTTATAAAATCCTAACTAGGGATGCAAAATTCCGGGAATTTTCAAAGATGGAAACTTTTCCATGGGAATAAACTGGGAATAAACTGAGAATTTTTGAAAGTTAAGGTTGGCTCTTCATAGGGAACTGAAATATAGTTGGGGAAAGTATATTTTAGCATAATCTATCTCAGTGGTTCCCAAACGGTGTGCCGCGGCACACTGGTGTGCCGTGAGGCAAGTCCGGGTGTGCCGTGGGATTTTGTGACAACCATACGTTATTATTGCAATATACAACTACACAAAAATAATTATTCAATTTACTATATCAGTACTTTGTAGGTTTATATGTACGTAATCTGCGCGACTTGCGCGTCCACATCTCCACGTGCAGTGCTGCATAAACATGGCTGAGTCAGCGATAACTTTCGAGGGGTGGAGGTATGCCCATTATTTTGAGTTCGTCCGAAGAATAGACAGGAATGTGACGGTGAGGTGCAAACTGTGTCCAGGCCAGAAGCTGTTATCCACTGCTGTAAACACCACGTGGTCAAAACCTCAACACACACCTGCAAAGAACACATGCTAAGGTGAAGCTACCGCACACGCTATTTGTTGTTTGTTTATATCACGTGGTCTGTTCTTCTTCTCTGTCTTCCGGTTGTTGCCTGTTTTGAATGACAAATACACACTACCGCCGCCTGCTGGTAAGGAAAGTTATTGCCACTCACGCATGCGCAGTTCGTACGTGCTCGGCGAGTAAAGTAACGAGTTACTTTATGTAGATAGTAACGAAGTAGTGTAATATATTACATTTTTTAAAGTAATATGTAATATATTACATTTTTTTAGTAACGACCCCATCTCTGGAGTTGGCGTTCTCTACTCTGATTTACATGAAGAACAACAGGAGGTCACGGCTCTCTGTTGAACAGGACTTGCGAGTGGCCCTCTCCTCAGTGCCACCAAGGATTAAAAAATTCTGCGCGCCCCGACAGGCACATGTATCTCACTAATTTGTAAATCGGCAAAATATTTACAATAGCACATGTTTCAATGCTGATTGCTGAAATGTTACATTTATAATGTGTAGTTCAGGACCATGGACAATGCAGCTTCCTTGCATTGACAGTTCTCTGTGCTGAATTTCTGCTGAGTTTCCTTTCCCTCATTTTTTATTTTGTGACCCGTCTGGTTTAAATGTGTGTTGCTGCTTTGATGAAGCCTAATTTGATAAAGTTTCAAATTAATTTCTGAAATATTTCGTTAATAAATATTTCACGAGTAATATAGTTGTCTTTGTCACATTTTATTTGGCATTAGTAAATAATTATGCACATTTAAAGATATTTTACATGATATGAGTGATAACACGTGTTATAAGGGCTATTTTGCACAATAGGTGTGCCTTGGCCTCAGATGCCATGGTTCTCAGCAGGAAATGAGTCCTTACCCCAAGTGAAGGAGTTCAAGTATCTCGGGGTCTTGTTCTCGAGTGAGGGAACAATGGAGCGTGAGATGGGCCGGAGAATCGGAGCAGCGGGAGCGGTACTGCAGTCGCTTTACCGCACTGTTGTGACGAAAAGGGAGCTGAGCCAGAAGGCAAAGCTCTCTGTCTACCGGGCCATTTTCGTTCCTACCCTCACCTATGGTCATGAAGGATGGGTCATGACCGAAAGAACGAGAAACAAGCGGCCGAGATGGGTTTTCTCCGCAGGGTGGCTGGTGTCTCCCTTAGGGATAAGGTGAGAAGTTCGGTCATCAGGGAGGGACTCGGAGTTGAGCCGCTCCTCCTTCGCGTCGAAAGGAGCCAGTTGAGGTGGTTCGGGCACCTAGTTAGGATGCCACCTGGGCGCCTCCCTAGGGAGGTGTTCCAGGCACGTCCAGCTGGGAAGAGACCAAGGGGTAGACCTAGGACCAAGTGGAGGGATTATATCTCTTCGCTGGCCTGGGAGCGCCTTGGGATCCCCCAGTCAGAGCTGGTTGATGTCGCCAGGGAAAAGAAAGTTTGGGGCTCTCTGCTGGAACTGATACCCCCGCGACCCGACCACGGATAAGCGGGAGAAGATGGATGGATGGATGGTGTGCCTTGAGATTTTTACTTGTCCTTTGGTGTGCCTTGGGCACAAAAAGTTTGGGAACCACTGATCTATCTGACTAAAACAAACAGATGCCATTCAAGTGAATATCCTCAATCAGATGCACACTGCTTACTGCATGGCTATTGAGACCACACCTCCTACAGGCACTGTGCATGCCTCAATCACATGGACACATGATTTCTTGAAGTAATATTTAACTCAACATTCATGTGTTTGTTCTTCAATGAAACAAATGATTGTTCAATAAAATAATTAAAACTTGTTCTGTTCTACTTACACATACATCTGTTGAAATGTCATGTTTTTTTTATTGTATCATTTTGCATGGATGTTTTCTTATGACAACATGTTTATATTTATGCTTGGATATGATACAATTCGATTACATTACCCTCAATTCCCAGTTAGTTCCCATCAATTCCCATATGTAATATTTCCAAAATTCCCCAGCTTAACTTCCCATGGAAATGTACCGGAAACTTACCGGAAATGTTCCGCCCCTTTGCAACCCTAATCCTAACAGCTTCTCAAACCACCCAACCGCAATTTAGCATTCATTTATATACATGTATAAATCCACCTGACAAACCATAATTCACTGGTTTAGCTCAGTTTTTATCCCACCAACTCTTGAGGTCGGCACAATACAGTGTATAACAAAGTGGCTAATGTCTCAAGCTGGGATTAACTAACATTTAACTACAGGTTTCCATTCTTGTATACAATTCCTAAATAATTAATGAGCAAACGGCTTTGGCTCTCATTTCATTTAAAAGTGTTCAGTGAGTGATTAGCTGAGAGCAGGTGCTTTCGTTGTGTGTGATGTAAACAAAGAAGAGCAGCCCCCACTAATGCACCGTGGACAAGTGAATTACTGGGACTTGTATACCTCATTAGCAACAGAAAGCTGCAGCTCGCTAGTATTAGCATCAGTGTTATGATTCCAGCTGACAGGCCATGTCTGCCAGTGACTCTGTCATGTCTCTGTGTGTGTGTCTGTGTGTGTATCCGTGTGTGTATCCGTGTGTGTGTATCCGTGTGTGTGTATCCGTGTGTGTGTGTATCTGTGTGTGTATCCGTGTGTGTGTGTGTGTGTGTGTGTGTGTGTGTGTGTGTGTGTGTGTGTGTGTGTGACTGACAGGAGTGTTTTCAGACGGCTGTCACACAGAGACTCCCAGCTCTCATCCTTCACTCAGCTCCGTCTCATAAACTGTTTGTTTGGGATGGGTAAGATCTCCACGGTGTTGCAGTGGGTCAAATCGAAATCAAAACAGCAGGAAAAAGGATGCTCAGCCTTTTTTTCCTGTCTTCTTTATCATGACAAGCTCTGACCTTTTGTACTGGAAATATAACTTTGAAAATATACAGAAAAATCAGCTTTTGAAATACACAAGCTATAATGAACATGCTGTTTGTTTGCATTAACTATATTGTATATTGTGAACAAATCAAACTGCAGTCGGACGCTGGTTAATTCAGCATTCCTCTATACCAGTGGTTCCCAACCAGTGGTCTGCGAAGGCATTGCAAGTGGGCCGCCAAATAATTTCAACAATTTTTTTCAAAATAAATTGTATTTTTAATCTACTCTTCAAACACCTTAAATTAAGATTACTCCTTGATTGACTTTTAAAAATATGTATTTTAGCCAGAGGAATAGTTGTATTTATTAACTGTGTGCGGTCTTCATCTAAAAGCCCAAATAAAATATGAAAGGGTGTAAATGTAAATTCAATATTTGCTGCCAAATAATTTGCAAAACATTATGATTTGTGTGGAGACATTTCCATTATTAAGATTTTTTTTTTTTTAACCCCTTTTCTTTCTCTTTCTTTATCCTACTTAGCAACGGTCAGTCATTACAGTCCTTAGCAACGGTCATTACAGTCCTTAGCAACGGTCTGTTCTACTGGATTAATAACGTGTCACATGTTCTGAATCGACCAATCAGAACATTATTTAGCCTCCGTATTGTTTATGGTTGAATGTGGGCCGCGAAAAAAACATTGATTCTTAAGTGGGCCCTGAGTTGAAAAAGGTTGGGAACCGCTGCTCTATGCCTTTGTTAAATCCAATCAATGTAATATGTAGATGTGAATCCCTGGTGGGTCAAATCAATAATAGGTGAAGATTCCTGTTGTCCACATGTACTGGACAGGATCTAGCCGGGAAAACATACATTAGGGACTTTATCAATAATATTTAAATCTGACCTTAAACACAATCTGTTTGGCACTGTTGGAGGGGAAGACATTTTTTCTGACTGCAAACAAATGCCACACACTGTCATTTGCCTGTCTCAAGATGTTGATGTAGGGATGTCAATCTGACCACCCACCCACACTCAAGGGCGGAGGGACATCATGTTCAATCTAAGCCTTGAAAATATACGCTACTCAGTAACTCATCCAAAAAAAAAAAATGGTGTGAGAGTTTTTAAGAATCATCACCCATCGACTTGTTTCCATACTTGCTTTTTGTCTTTGTGATGAATTTCTTATCTCGCTTTCTTTTGTTTATTTAGTCATATTCCCTTTCTCTCATTTCTAAATACAGGGTTCACCAACTCAAATTTAAGACTTTTTAAGACCTTTTTAAGACCACTTTGAATAGAATTTAAAACCTATTTCACGACAAGAAAGTATGAAGGAAAATTGCTATGAAAGAAGAAATACGTCCCATAATTACTTACAAAGTAAATGTATTCATGTTCAACATAAGAACAATGACTGAACGTAAGAGCATAACAGTACACATAACTGTGTGTGTGTGTGTGTGTGTGTGTGTGTGTGTGTGAGTGTGAGTGTGTGTGTGAGTGTGTGTGTGAGAGAGTGACAAGAGCTATATTCAGAGCTCTGTTGCCTTGGCTACAATCTTTCATCATTGCTGTTGTATGATTGGTGTTTAGCTACGGTATTTAGTGTCCACAGCGCGCCGAATGCTGGGCATTTAACACGCATTTAAACAGTCCTTCGGCGCCCATCGATGACGTAGTATACTTTAAATAGTGGCTCTGCAGCAGGTTTACTCGACATTGAGAAATGGGGTGTTTCTCAATGTCGAGTACGCTTGCTTGGTAGCACATGTCTTCCGAGCGTCTTGCTTCAGAAGCGAGGCAAGAATACTTCCTGGCATTCGGAAAACGAAGAGTGGAACAGGCGAGCAAGTGTGCAGGTGTGCGTCATATGAGAGGCCCCGCCTTACATTTTCCACCACAGATTTGGGGAAATTGGTCCGTGCGCAAAGCATTGTGGGGATTTTAAGACCGCGGAGTCTACACATGTGCAGCCTCGACATTTCTCCAAACGAAGTACGCCGGGCTCTGTAGAATTCCAAGTATGCTGGACATTGGAACAGTACTTCGGCGGCACTCGATGACGTAGTATGCTTGAAATAGTGGCTCTGGAGCAGCTTTACTCGAGATTGAGAAACACCCACGGCCTCTGACTGCCGCTAGCTGAAGCTTGGTTACTAGCTGGGTGTTCTCCGATAAGGGGGCGGGGGAAACAAAGTTAGTGATTACTGGTTCCATGTTGATTTATTTCAATACAAATTGTTGGGGTGAACGGAAAGGCTCTTACCGTACTGGTTACTTTGCAGCCCGGACATTTCCCTCAAAACACATTTAGACGCGATCGCAACACAGAAGTACCTTTCAAATCGGATAATTTTTAAGACCTTCTAAATCATATTTAAGACCTTTCTAATTGTTTTGATTATATTTAAGACCTTTTAAGACCCCGCGGGAACCCTGTAAATATAAAACCTGACTTTCAGCAACTTCCTGTAATATTCAAAGGACAAAGAATCCTTTAATTTATGGAGATTTTTGCCGGAAGTCGGGGCTAGCAGGGAGTGGGATGATTGGAAAAAGATGACATGTTGTGCTCTGCTTTCACAGAATTGTCAATTAACAGATATTTAGTTCCCTTGTTTAAAATGCATTAAAAAATAATCTTGGGAAACAAAAAACTGCAGTTTGGGGAAGAGCAGATGATTACCTGGGTTCCATGCAAACTGCTCCATGTTCCTGAGACAGACGATGAGCAGGAGGACGTAGCTGGTGAACCGCTCTTTTATATCTGCAGGACAAAATAAAGACATGTGATTAAAGAGGCACCAACATTTAAGATAGAAATCCAGAGTGTTGCATTGGTTGTATTAGGTATCCTCATACTGTAGATGTGCGTTCCAGCGGGTGGTGTTAAGGGAGGTGTGAAAGGAGCTTTTAAAATTAGATCTGTCAGTTCTACGTGCGAGGTGCTTTGAGAAAGGTCTCTGTTCCTACGTTACAGCAGCATCACAGTCACAAGGCTTTCAGAGTGATCACAGTACATGTTTCAAACGTCAGTGTAGTACAATTTAAAGACTGAGCTGCAGAAATGTAGCATGCCATTATATATGCTAATTATGACCACGCTTGGCTCCATAAACAGGAATGATGTGAGAGAACAGTGAGAGGTAAATGGCAGCTGATTAAGGCTCCTCGTCTTCTGCTGTCATTACTCATTACAGTATAATAAGAGCAACAAATAAAAAAAACACATTCTGCCTTAGGGAATGAAAAGAGAAACGCACAACACAGTCAACATCTCTGTAATGTACGAATAATATCAGAGCCAAATCTGTAGATACATTGTAGGCTTGTATGCAAGTAACATTGTTGTTATATCAAGGTGCTTGTCATTTTAATAAGTTTTGCTTTCAGTTTGATGCTTCGAATATGCATTGAATATCTTACCACTGTTAGACATTTGGAACAAGTTGTTCTTCTCAAATTTCTTGAACACACTTCCTTTGATTTCCACAAACTGTCATAAAGAAAACACAAAGAACAAAGAAAGGAATACAGTTAGCAGTATTTAGGATCCATAATATACAAACAGACCACATTATCATGTTGCAGCTGAATTTAAACGTTTCATCTCCAGTGGGCAAAGTTGCATTTGTTTACGAAACATCTGCATACATATTATTTAAGTTAAATGTAGCACGTCCGCTTATATTTTGTTGCAAAAGTTTAGCTGCTTAACCTGTTAAGCCCCATAGCCCCCGCAGACACCCTGTTGACATTTTCACGAAACTGTGTCTCAGGGCTTCTTAGCATTTAACAACCTATGAATGTGTCATACCCACTTAAAGAGCCTGTGACAGCATCCCAACAACTGTTGTGCAATGAAATATTGGGCTACTAGTAATCTCGAACCGTCAGTTTAAAAAAGAAAAAGCGATACCGTTCCGTTAAATATCAATGATTTCGAACATCACGGGGAAATTCCTTCGACTCATTTTGAAGTTTTGGGGGAAGCCGGAAGTGACGTCAATGCGGGAACGCTTCACTGTGCGGCGAGAGAGCCAAACACGGACAAAGTGTGTTGTCATGCGTAGAAATGGTGAATTACTGGGTTTAGGCACGTTAATAACGTTTTAATGAAGTTGACTACGGTATATTCATATTTGTCAGTGCTTTCATGTCAATTCGGCGAACATAAACATAAATGATCGTGGTGAAGATGATGATTACATTAGGATTAAAAATCGGTAGTGAGAGCTGCTGAATTTCCTGCCGTCGGATGTGATATAAAAACAATTCTATTATTTTTGTAGTTGTAAACTCAAGTGGATGAAACTACATTTATTAGTGCTTTCATGTCAATTCGGCGAACATATGATACATTAAATGATTGTGAGAATGATGATTAAAAATCGTTTGTTTGTGCCGGTCTGCATTTCCTGATGAGAAAACAAACCCATGCTTTTTGTAGTTGTAGTACACCAACATGGATTAAACGTGTGGTTTTTTCACCACAATGTTGAGGAAATTAATGGATAAAATGCACGGATTATTATTATTATTATTCCCACTCCGATCGGGACACTAGGTCCACCGTTTCCCCGCAGCGAGGCTCCCCCCGTTGACAGTTTACGTGTGCTGGGTGCAGTGGCGGACTGGTCATCGGGACGAATCCCGATGGGCCGGTACCGAAGTGGGCCGGTCGGATAAATCACTAGCACATCCCCCACTCCCCCCGTTGACAATTTACTAGCGGTACCGAAGTGGGCCGGTCGAGAGTCCCGGGCTGATTTTTAGTCCCATTCCACCACTGGCTACATGACCGTATGATCGCCCATATTGACGCACCTAATTCCTAAACTTCTAACAGATAAAACATAAACCGATCCTTCAGCCTCATATGAGCTCTCAGACACGTTCAAAATTAAACTGTCATCATCGCTGTCTGAGCTTGCTGCTGTGTGCGCCATCGTGCGTTTGCATGCAGATGCTGGGATCCTGAACGGTGCAGCTGGAGCGCTGTGCCCGCAATTACGTCACACATAATTTGGCGGGATTTGAAGAATCCCCAAGAAGATCCAGAATATGGTCAACATTGAAGGGCAGATTAATGGTTATCAAAGTACAAATATCCAAATCAGTTCAGTAACGGTTTCAAGGGGACAATATTTACTAAAATTGATGGGTTTGGAAGATGGGGGAAACTCGTGTCACAGGCTCTTTAACGGGAAGAAACTCAGCTAACAGACGATGAACAATTTTTACCGAAACAAAACACAACTCTAACGCCAAGCGTCTGAATAGACCTATCGCTAAACCACGCCCCAAATAGAATTTGTCCAATCATATCACAGCGAAAATCCCTCCTGACAGAAAACTCGGACATCACCAGAAAAGCCGTTTGTGGGGCGCATCAAACCAAAACCAGACGTCTGTGATCGAAACCACTGTGAAGAGTTCAGTTTCTATGTTTATTATCTAGCTAATATCTGATGGTGAAACGCTGTGCGTGGGGTACCTGTAATTTCGGACACCAGGTACCCTGAAAGACTGGATGGAGGAGTATATTTCGTACCTTTTCCGAAGCCCAAAAGAAAACTCGACAAATGCAAGCGGTGGATTATGCTGTGTCGTCAACCACATACACAACTGAATGTGAAGACAATTATCAAGGACACTTATGTTTGCTCAAAGGTAAGGTCAATTCATAAAGACATCATATTTGACGGTATGTATTAGAAACGTAGACCAAACTATTAGTTTGCTAACGATTGACTTTGACTGCCAACTAGCTAGCGTATATCCAGCCCAGCTAGCTAACGTTAGCTGCCAACTTGTTAGCCAGCTAACTAGCTACAGTGTTATCAACATCAACGTTTGCTGTCTGACTTTTCGTCCTCGCTAGTTAGCTGGTGTTTTTAGCTAACTTTTGCTAACTGTCTTTTCACCTCAAAGCACTTCAGAGATGGGAAGCCAACTCTGGAATATCCAGATCCCATCCGGGCTCTCGTGTGTGCTGCTCCGAAAAGACACAGACCCTCACCCAAAAAAAGGTAACGCTACAGTCAGCCAGGTGCATAACAGTGAAAATGATGACCAACAAGGACAGTTATAGTTATAGATTTAATGTAGTGACCACCACTGCTAACATTCAACATCATATTATCATTTCAATGGTTACACAACAGTCACCACTACACACGACAGGCAACAAGATTAGATATTTTATATAAAGAAATACATGGCTACCTTTTTACTCTTGCTTTTAACTGTTAACTTTCATCTGCTGTTGCTTTTATTAGCTCTTGCTTCTATTTTAATGTTATTTTAACTTGAACTCCCCCCGCGGCCATTGTCAAGAGTCATTCACGGTCGGCTTTGTTTGTCCGAGTTTTCAAAGGGGGCGTGGCTTAGCAATAGGTCTATTAGCACTAAGCGAAAGAGTGCTAACCCACTTAACTCACGGTAGAAATATTTTATATTTCATCGGATCTTCACAAACAAGATATCATATGAAAGCTGAGATTCCAAAACTCAGGCAAGCAAAGACAACACACAACTTCTCTTTACGTGGCCAAAACGGCAAAAACGTCTTACCTTTGCAGTTTTTCTGATCAAAAGTTGTGTTCAATGGCATTAAAACGCATATAAACGCTGATGAAGTTTAATCCAATGTCTCTGTGTCCCTTCGAAATGATTACTGATAATCCATCATAACATTTATGTCAATAAACAGAGTTTTCATATAGAGTGTATGAGAGCTTCCGGTTTTGGGCATTCTGGCTGCGCATCACTCTCATTCACCAATGGGTAATGTTTAGATGGATTTAGGAACTTCCCCTCGATTCTATTGGCTCTAACGGTTCAAAACAGGTGTCAATCATCAAAATCGACCGATGGGTTCCAGAGATATGGAAAATGCACCCAAATGACCCCAGAAGTGTTTTTTTGTTGCTAAACCTCTCTAAAAAGGTAAAATGTCACTTGTTTTGCATCAATCTTGATACAGGGTACTTATATGTTATAGTTTGGATTCCTAAAGCTTTTAGTCTACTATCCCATCATTCAAGGGTGGTTTTCACTATAAGTAATGGGTTTCTTTTGGACGGATACTATAATTTACATTTTTTTACTATGTTCAATCTGAATTTACTTTAAAATAAAAAAATCAATATTGATTCTGACTTTTCTACATCCAACTCACAGGTTTATCATTGCTTTGAGAAAAAAGATTATTAATTGACCCCTTTTAGAAGTGAAGATATAGTCATTTGTTCTGGGAATGTCATTTTCGAGCCTGAGACCTGAAAAACAGACTCGGGGCTTAACAGGTTAAACAATCAGGCAGATTGTTGCACATAAATGTGTAAGTGCGTGCGTGTGTGTGTGTACTGACGTTGTTAGACATCATGATGGTGAGCAGGGACTTGTTGTGGGAGTTGAAGGCGACGTTGAGCGTGGAGGCTTGGACCATGATGAGGATGGCATGCAGAACTGAAGAACAGCAGCTCAGGAAAACAACTGATTTAACAAACATTCAGCACTGAACACATAATACAAATAATCACAATTTTCTTTTGACGTATCCTGCCAGCAAGACCCATATACAAAATGTATACAGGTCTGTTTGTCTTGCCGATTATTCCAGCAGGAAGGCAAATCCAGCAGAAATAATATAAGAACAAATGGTGTCCGTCAAGCAAGTGATGCAGGCTTCATTTATCTTTTTAGTGGTCACTTAGCTCACAAAGAAAGTAGTTAGAAGCATTTCATGACACTGTGGCTACATGTCGTTTGTCAAATATAAACACAGAGGAAAGACACACCAAATATCAATCACAAATTTAAAATTGACATTCATCTTTCTGTTGAACAAGAAGGATACAGACATAAAAGACGGCCATGAAGAAGTGAGGAATGACTCCTATACTGTCTCTCTTCCGCTCTTTGGGTTCTGTGGCCGTCCAGTAGAGAGCGTCCAGGATGTCTTGACCGAAGGACGAGAAGAGGCGGTCAGCCACCTTACAGAGGAACGACAAAAAAAACCAACACATTATTCACTTACTTTAACCTACTAGACAACCTCTTACAATTTGTTCAAGATATTAGGATCTTGTGTTGTTCTCTTATTAGATAAGATCACACCTCATTTGCATTTGTTTGCCGTTTATAATAGGTCTTATCAAGCTGAGCCACATAACTGTTCACAACAACAAATCTGACATTATATCAAATCAAAGTGGATTCAAACTAAACCAAACAAACAGTCTGACGTTTATTGCTAAATCAATGATTTCCTAGTAATTCAGAAATGTACTTGAAGGGTGGATCCACCCATGTTTAAGAATACAAGCCGTTAATTCAGCAGCAAACACGAGATGTGAGCGTATGAAGAGTGCCGTACCTCCAGCATGTTGTAGATGATGTACAGTTTGATGACGGACTGTCCTCTGATCAGGTGGTACATCATGGAGTAATCCACGTAATGCATCATGGAGAAGCACAGCACCATGATCAGACCCTTCAGCACGTCACACACCTGTGCTGGCTGCAGCAGCCGAGACCCACTGACCACACACACACAGAAACACACACACAGACTTATAAACGTACGGTTGCTGTATTGATTATAGAAACACGTTAAACCAAGCTTTTGGGAAAAAATGTCCGTACTTGAAAACATACTACATGCTGTTAATAGGCGCTTTCACACCAAGTACTTTTCCCAGGAATAGTTGCAGGAACTTTTATTTCCCCGGAACTATCTAGTAGATCGCGTTCACACCGGAATAAGTGCCTGAGGGAGGATTACGCGAATGAAGCAAACCCCCAGGGAATGCGCCGGACTCTATAGCCTCATCCCAATACCCCTCCTCGACTCCTCCTTTCCCTCACTCGCGTCCCTTCCTTGCATCTTAGCTCCGCCTCCGTAAGATGCGAGCGAGAGACACGAGGAGGTGACGCGAGGACAGAGGAGTCCTCAGGTATTAATTGGGATGGCCTCGTTCACTCAAACGTCACTCTTAAACGACGTCTGTTAATGATGACATGTGCACAGCTGTATCCCCTCTCATCGGGCTTAACTGAATAACCCCTTAGAACCGGCCCATTTCTGGTTAAATATTTATTTAAATTAATGAATCTTTCTCTTGTTAGTCAAGGAATTCAATGTATGATGGTTGGTCATGCTTTTGTGTTCCGTTTTGGTGTAAAAGGTAGCCTACATTTAAATAAAAATATAATTATAGTAATGTGAAAGCTTTTTAGAAATGAATTGCACATAATAATTCCCACGGAGCTGTGAGCACTTATACATTTATGTGATGCTTTTTCACTCATCTTCCAGTTGTCGGTTTTCCTCTGTTGAAATCGACCAGCTGTGAAGGTGGGGGCGGGGCTTTTATACGCGAGTAGTGAAAACACTTCCGCGTAGTCTGCTCGCGTGTATCCTCCCTTTCGTCTCCTCCCGCACCCCCTCCCTCCTCCCGCACCCCTCCTCGACTCCTCCGTGTGCATTTCAGCTATTGGGACGTCCTTCAAAATGGCGTGTCTTGATCGATTTCCGGGTCAAGTCCCGGAGGAGGGGAAAGAGG